CAGAAGCAAGGAGAAAGCAAGGAAGGATTCAGGCCATAATTATAGAGAGAACAGAACCCATCTGACACCTTGATCTCGGACTCCTGGCCTCCAGAGCTGAAAGACTGTAAATTCCTGTTGTTAAAGCCCTGTGACCTCTGGTACTTGGTTATGACAGCCACAGGAAACTGATGTGACCACTTTGGCATTATCTCCCTGCCCAAGGTGCTCAGCCTGACCTTTACAATTTACTACCATCCTCCTCCTGTCTTGAGTCTGGAAGGCCTTTCATCGCCCCAGAAGCCAGCCTGCCTCACTGCCATTGATGTCAGTAAACCCACTGAGATGATGGCATTGTTGGGCCCCTGCCTCACACACAGTGGCCACAAATTTCCAGTAGTCCGTGTTCTCTCTCTCCTTCCCCAGGTGCCTCTGGACTTCCCGAAGCAGCCACCCAGGAAGCGCTGGGCCCAGCTCTCCCACGTGCCTCTTGTGCCTTCCTCCAACAGAGCCCCTCCCTCTGCCACACTGCCCTGAAGGCTGCCCACCCCCTGGGGGTCAGGAAATGGGCCTTGACAGAGATGGGAGATCTGCGGAGATTCCCCCACCCAAAAATGTACCATATCTACTTTAGAAAAGACCCAAAGAGTAGCCCAGTGAAAGCCAAATAAGTGGAGGATGAGCCCAGTGAAAGCCAAATAAGTGGAGGATGCCAGCAGGCTTTCTACTCCATGCTGGGAGCAGTGGCAAGGACATGGCCACAAGGCTGGAAAGTCCACATAGGGAGCGTGATGCAATGTAACCCTGGAAGGCAGGGCTCTGCCCCCAAGAAGATGAATTCGAGGGCTTGGCTCTCCCTGTAGCTGGCGTGTGCTGTCCTCACTGGGGCCAGGTGCTCAGTGTCTGCTCACTGGCCCCCTTCTGCCCGCCCCCCCTCCAGGACCAGCCTGGAAATAAATGTATGTGTCCACTGCTCTCAGGAAAAGTAGGCCCTGGCTCTTAACCCAAGAGCTAGGACAGGGTTGCCTGTGAAAACAAGAGTCTCTCCTTCAAGGCCTGAGTCCAGGGTTGTAGGCTAAGCGGGATTTAGTGTTTGTGAAGTCATTCTGAAATTCGAACTGGTCAGGAAGTGGTGTGTAAGGTTCCTCTGGGGTAAGACTTGGTGCCCTGATGGGCCTTCCTGCCCACAGACCCTCCCCATGGGCTCTGCCCTTACCCTATGTCTTCCCAGGTGAGATTTGCTTATGACGGCAATCCGTGCCATCAGGGAAAGGAGTGTGTGCCTCCTCAGTTATGGTTTCATGGTGGAAGAATGGCATCCATGCAAGCTAGTTTACAGAGGAAGGGGTTTAGCATGGGATACTCAACAACTTACGGAGGCACTGGAGAGGCTGACCACACAGACTAAGTTGGGGTTTCAGGGATGATCCCAGACCCACACTGCAGAGCCAGGCCACCCCTCACCTCTTCCTTGATCAGGGCCCGCGTTGCTGGTTGGGAACACAGAGCGGCTGCCAGCGTCAGACCTGGTGCTGCCACTGCCACCCTCGAGTGCCTCTACTGGTGAAATGGGCACCCAGGCAGGACTCCTGGACTCCTGCCGACACTTGGCAGAACAGAAGCATGGCTTCCGCGTCATGGTGCCCTCTTGGGCCGGTGCATTGATGGAAGGAATTGGAATCATGTTTGGAATCCTAGCTGCAAAGGAGTCAAGAAGTACAGCCAAATGGGTCCTGTTTGGGGGGGGGTGTCAGATATCCGGACCACTGCGTATAATGCAGCTGAATCGCTGAGGAGTGCCCCGACAGCCAGGGCTTTAGGGAAGCCGGTCCAGCAGGAGGTGGCTCCAAGCCCAAGCGTGTATGGGTGCTGCCGGGTGAGGAGACCCAGGTGCGGGGAAAGTCTCCTGGGAAACATCATGATGTGGATCCAGGGCCCCACCCTCGCATGCTGACTCTCCGCGCCTGGAGCAGAGCCCGGATTTCTGCTGTATGCCATTTCCATGCTCTTGATAAAATTCTCCAGTGTCCTTTAGGTACATCATGTTCTTGTTCAAGCTTCAGGAACACCCCCTGAAGCAGTCTTGCCAGGTGTTCTTCCTAGTTTCAGGGAGGGGAAGCTGAAGCCTCAGGAGGTTGAGTATCTTTCCTGGAGTTGCCACGTGGCTGGAGGCAGAGCCGCTGACAGCAGTCAGCCCTTCCTACCTGCTGCCGGTCTCGAGTTGTCTCCACTGCTCGTTTTAGCCTGATGAATGGAACTGCACTGAGGCAGTACATGTGGCCATGTGGCGAGCTGGGAGACCCGGCTCCAGTGCCGGCCCCTCCCCGTCACCCCTCTGAGCCTCTGCTTCCATACCTGTGAGATGAGGTGGCTAGCACACACCTGCAGGCTGCTCTTCTGGCAGTGGGAAAGCAGAGCTGCTGTGGTTGCCACAGGGAAGGCTCCAGACCACCCTTCCCAGTCCAGGATATCCTTGCTTGGGGCTCACAAGGCTTCAGTCTCCAACAAGAGCTGGCGAGGGTTTGCTTGAGACTTTGATCCACCAAGGAAGAGCAGGAGAGGCTGGCTCTGGGAGTTAGGGATGCCTGGTGTGGGGCAGAAGAGAGAGGGAGGGGGAGGGCTGGGTATTTAGGAAACAGAAATAGTAGCTGATGGGCCAGTGGGCCCAGCATGAGGTAACGGTATTAGATGTAGTTCCCCATTCTGCTGCCTGTTTCCTAAATGAAAAATCTTACATCCTGTTCAACCCGGAGGAGACGTCTGTTTGGGATGATAAACGCATCTTGGAGGGCTGCCACAGGGGAAGCATCCACTCTGCCAGACATTGAGTGGCCTCCATAAGGTCCCATACTTCCCTCCTCTTGCCCAGCAAAACGTCACTGCACACAAGTGTGTGCCTGCATCTGTTTGCACCCTGGTGCCACACTGCCACTGGCTACCAGAACCAGCATGTCCTGGGCCACCTAAGGGAGAGCCTTCTTGATGGGGCCAGAAAGACAAGGTACCACAGAACTCTTGGCATTGCACTGAGTCTGTTTTCACCCACAATCTGAGAAAGTTCCATAGGAGTTTGGTGGAACCATTTGAGTTCATCTTGCTATGGTTTGCTTTTACTTGCCAAGCTGTTACAAAGGTGCTGCTAATATCAATGTGAATTTGGACGTGCTGGCTCTTTGTCTCCTCTCCGTTATTAACGGACACCAGAGGCCTTCCACGTGCCTGTACAGCCAAGCATCTTCTGAATGGAGGTGTTTACAGATAGCTACCCACTTGTGCAGGAGCCCTGGAGGAAAGCTGTGATGCCTCCACTAGAAGAGGCCAGGCCACAGCAGCCATCCACGGGACTGTTCCCTACCCAGCAGAATCCAAACTTGCTCTTTTCTCGGGCTCTGCCTGGTGAATATTACTGCCTACAGTCAGCCAGAGAGGCATCAGGCATCCTTGTTGCTCTTCAAAAGTAGGATCCTGAGGAGAAGTGAGGCTAACCTGGTGAGACCCAGCCAGAGACTGTTACGTTCAGAGTTAATAGCATACGGCACAGACCAACCAGGAAGACCCAGGTCCTCAGAAGGACCTCGAATGAACCAGTCTTTAAGGATGGATAGGATTAGAAAGGGGGAGGGGGAGGGCATCTGACTGGCTCAGGCTGTGGAGTCTGCAACTCTTGATCTTGGGGTTGTGAATTCAAGCCCCGCATTGGGTGAAAAGCCTACTAAAAAAAAGAAGAGGGGAAGTGGAAGAAACCCAAGGTTTCCAGGATTGTTAACAGTAGCTGACACCATGTACACATGATGGAAGATTATCCAGCCATTAGAAGGAAGGGAATTCTGGGCAGTCCGGATGGCTCAGTGGTTTAGTGCTGCCTCCAGCCCAGAGCCTGATCCCGGGGATCAGGGATTGAGTCCCACGTCAAGCTCCTTGCATGGAGCCTGCTTCTGCCTCTGCCTCTCTCTCTGTCTCTCAAATAAATAAAATCTTAAAAAAAAAAAAAAAAAGAATTCTGACACATGCTACACTGTTGTTGAACGTGGAGAACATTGTGCTGAGTGAAACAAGCCAGCCACAAAAGGACATACTGTATGATTCCACTTGGATGAGAGACCTAGAGAAGTCAGAGGCTGCAAGCAGAATGGTGCTTGCGAGTGAGAGCTGGGGTGGGGGGGGGACAGGGAGCTGTTGAGTGGGGACACAGTGATGAAAGTTCTGCAGATGGATGATGGTGATGGCCACACAGCATGAATCGACTTAATGCCACTGAACTGGATACTTTAAATGGTAAATTTTATGTGGTGTATATTTTCCCACAACTAGAAAAATAATAGCTAACATTTATCAAGTGCTTGCTGTATGCCAAGTGCTGCTCAGAGCACTTCTGTAGTTCTCAAAATAGCCACGTGAAGGTAGACACTGTTAGCTGTTCTCATTTTACAGATGGGGAGCCTGATGTGTGGGGTCATTAAATAAGTGTCCCAGGGTCAGATAACTCGTGATGGTCACATGTGGATTGAACCCTCAGGTGTGCCGGTGCACACCCCATGCCCTCACCCCTGTGCTGAGTAACAGGCTGAGGCACAGGACCTGCAGGAGGGACTGGAGGCTGGTGTTTCCAGATGTCACCCAGTCCTGCCGTAGCAGGGATTCGTGTTCTCTCTGCCTCCAGAAGCCATGTGCTGTTCAGACGCTCAGGCTCAGTGGGGCCCTTGATGTGGCTGTCTTCCGGGCTCCCCATTGCTCGGTGGTGTCCGAGATTGTCATTGGCCATAATATGCATGTAACCGTTCACCCAAGACTCCTATATATTAAAGAGTGACCCAGGGTATACCTGGGTGGCTCAGTCAGTTCAACGTTTGGCTCGGGTCTACCCTGAGATCATGACCCACGTCCAGCTCCCTGCTCAGCGGAGTCTCTGCTTCTCCCTCTCCCTCTGCCCTCCCCACCCCAGGCTTGTGTTTTTGTCTCTTTCAATTAAAGAAAATCTTTAAAAACTTTAAGAGTGACCCGAGTTGTCCAATCTGTTACAGACCACAGTAATAGACTATGTGAAGCCCTCAGATCTCAAGAAGGACATGAATGAGACCTTCAAGGAGAAGTTTCCCCACATTAAGTTAACACTCAGCAAGATAAGGAGGTAGGTGAGGATCAACATCCACTTGAACTTTCCATCCAAACCCTTTCCTAGTGTGCATTAAGCTCATGCTTTGTATAGCTGGTTCCTCCTGTAGTTCGAGGGAAATCATTTACACAGGTGCGTGCAGCAAGATGAGGCTCATCCGATGCTGGTGGATGCTTGCCTGCATGAGTGAGAGCCAAGGAAGGAGGACAGAAGACTGAGCTCTTGACATGAGTTAGTTGACAGGGGTCTGGGGGGAGCTTCCTTAAGTGAAAGAATAATTACTTCATACTGCCTGAGGCTTAACAGTTCAGTAAGGGTTATGTTACAGAAAACTCATTCTCTGCTTTCTCAAATGTAGACAAAACAGAAAACGGTTGGTTGGATAACATTTGAGATAATTCTTCACCCACAGTCATTCACCCAAGAGTTGACAGCCACACCTTACCTTTAAGCATTTGGCAAAACAAAGCAAAATCAGACCCATCTTTTCCCTGCAGCTGATTGGATTGACTTTGTGGTGACCCACATGTGCCAGCCTGGAGAGAAGTGCCTGGGGTTGTGTGTGTACACCAGGACAGATTTTCAGTGCATGTAGTGATGGAGGCTAGACTATGCGCCAACACGGCGTTGGAGTAGGTGCCAATATTTACATGCTGTGTATTCCAATACTGACTTGATTCTGGCATGTTCCAAGCCAGAGAAGTGTGAGAAAAGTGATGTATTCACACTCTGTCCATTTGCTGGGTAGCATTCCTAAGTACACTGGCTGTTTTGCTGTTAGCCTAACCCCTCTTCTGCCACAGTTTCTGAACATGACTGATACTCAGAGTTGATACCAAGCACCTAATTTAAATCTATAGGTGTCTCTCTGGAATGATCATAATTCCCCTCTGCAATTTCCCTCTTTTCCCTTGGACAGCTTTACTTCTAGTAAAGACCCTCAGACACCACCTGGATTCAGTGTGGTCTTCTGTGTCCTTGTTGACATGGTCAGTACAGTTTCACCAACAGAGAAGAGCCCTAGCAACTTAAGTCTGTTGCCCGCGTATAAAGGAAATTTACCCCTTGGGATTTAGTCCCATTCCACGTCACCCTTCTGGGAATGAGCAAAAGGAAATGCTTTCGGGATGCACTAGTCTTTTTTTTCTTTGGGGTCCTCTGAAACTCCCGAGTTCTAATAATGTTCCTTTCTTCCTGTCTTTCTATAGTCTGAAGCGAGAGATGCGGAAGCTTGCCCAGGAGGACTGTGGCTTTGAGGAGCCCACAGTGGCCATGGCCTTTGTCTATTTTGAGAAGCTCGCCCTCAAGGGAAAGCTAAACAAACAGAACCGGAAGCTTTGTGCCGGAGCATGTGTACTATTAGCAGCCAAAATCGGAAGTGACCTCAAAAAACATGAAGTCAAGCATTTAATTGACGTAAGTGACCTGAGTCCTGTTGCCTGAGGAAGCACGTGGGAAGAGCCTGGTTGGTGATCCTGCCCAGGAGAATTGCTAGTACCCACTGAGAGACCAGGGCTGTGAGGTCATCCTGCAGTGGAGGTCAGGCCCCACATCTCAGGCTGCTCTAGAACAGAGGGATGATCCACTTTGACAAGACCGAAGATCCCCAGTATTGGGTCAGGCCATAAAAATCCATTTTCAGACACCCTGAGGGGTGAAATTACTCTCAAGCCACAGAAGCCACTGCAGTGGGAAGGGGACAGGGGCTTGTGGGCAGTGTGACCACAGAATGTCCGTCAGACACATTGACTCAACAGACCTTGGCTTCCTGTGGCCTTAGTTGTCTCTTCTTTAAGGAAGGGCATGGGTTTGATTGAGTGGTACCTCTTCCTTTTAAAGGAGAACCCCATCAAAGCAATGAAACCCAGATCTTGGGTGCAAAATGCCTGTTTTGAAATATACTGTATTCGTAGAAAACTTGAGATGCAATAAAAGCAACAGATCAGGAGACAGTTGCCATTGAAAAGATAGCTTCCTATCACGGTTCCCAAGAGAAGTGGCTTAGCTCAGTCTGCTGAGCAAAATCACATTGACAGGGTGGCTTCAACAACAGACATTGACTTCTCACAGTTCTGGAGGCTGGGAGTCCAGGATCAGGGTGCTGGCGGCTTCAGGTCCTGGCAAGAGTGCTCTCCTGGGCTTGTAGATGGCCTCCTTTCATTGTGTCCTCACGGAGCAGGGAAAGAGGTAGGCTCTCTGCTCTGCTCTAACGGCACTCATCACATTGTGAGGACTGCACTCATCAGCTCCTCAACCTGACCACATCCCGGAGCCCCCCAGTTAATATGTTGTTGGAGGATAGGATTGGTGGGGACACCAAACCATGGGGAGCCATGTGGGGAAGTACTGTGGTTGGTCGTGAGGCAGAGGAAGAAGGGGGAACTGTGGGCTGGATGGAGCCTCCTGTTTCCATGGGAAGGAACAGGCAAGGCAGGGTAAGTGGGCTTCAGACTGGCTAGCTAGAATCATTCCAGTTGACTCTGGGGCAGAGGAGCTGTCCTTACTGGTTCCCCTGGCCCTGTGTGAAACATTTGGGCAGGTGGAGAGTGGTCTGGAGTGTGAGAAGGGGATTGAGGAGATGGTTGAGGTATGTCTGGGCCTTGGATGGGTTGGTTTTGCATACAAAAGATGTACCCACGAGTAGTTGGCTGGTCCTAGAAGGGGGGTGGGGACGCCCTCTTGGGTCTGCAAGGCTCCAGATGGCCAAGAGTCAGAATACAGAAGCTACAGAAACTACAAGTTGTGGTCACTACGATACTCTGTGGGCTAGTTGTGCGGCTGGCTCAGGGGCACAGGAGGAAAAGCAGAAAGGGAGCTAATGTAGGTACTTCCCACCTAAGAGCATTCTTTTTGCTTTATCATTTTTATTTAAAGTTTACAGTTCAGGGGATCCCTGGGTGGCTGAGCGGTTGAATGTCTGCCTTCGGTTCAGGGCGTGATCCTGGGGTCCCGGGATCGAGTTCCACATCGGGCTCCCTGCATGGAGCCTGCTTCTCCCTCTGCCTGTGTCTCTGCCCACCCCCACCCCACCCCCATCTCTCATGAATAACTAAATAAAATCTTTAAAAAAAATAAAGTTTACAGTTCACTGGTATTAAGTGCATTCATATTGTTGTGTGGCCATCACCACTGTCTGTCTCCAGAACTTTTTCATCTTGCCAAACTGAAACTCTGACCCCCTTCACCACTAATACTCCTTTCCCTCTCACCTCCCAGGCCTTGGCCACCATTCCTTCCATCTCTGAGTATGACTTCAGCTGTCTTGCATAAGTGGAATCATAAACTATTTGTCTTTTGTGACTGGCTTGTTTTTCTTAGCATTATGTCTTCAACATGTGTCAGAATTTCCTTTTTAAGGCTGACTGTATGTATAGTCCACATTTTGTTTATCCATTCATCCATCGATGGAAGAAAGTGTTAAGTCAGTGCTTTACTGTTTCTTTTCTTTTTCTTTTTTGCTTTACTGTTTCTAAGAAATGGTGCATAATTGTCTAGCTTGTAGAGTATATACTTATAGGAACATGGAGGGCATCTTTGGTTATCAGATCTGAGCGGAGAATCAACAGGTTTACATAGATACTCCCTGAACTAATCTTTACAAGCACGGTGTTAACACACACGTAATTGTAGTTGAGTAACATACTGTCCAGCAAAAGCTGATAGTGTCCATGCAGAACGTACAGTTCCAGGCAATGGTTTGACATTTCCAGTAGCAATTAACCTGACTCGAGGTCCCATCCTAGTTAAACAGTCTGAACATGGCCACTAATGTCTCTGCTGGGGAGTTGTTTTTATTAAGCCAAAGCAGAATGTGCCCTGGCGAAAACAAGGCCTTTCCTACCCACCTTCCTGCCAGGTTCTTCGTCTCTATCTCTGCAGCCCTCACAGCTGGGTGGAGTGAGAGGCAGTGCCCTTGGCGAGCCTCAGGCATGAGCTGAACACAGCTGTGTGCTCAGGCCATCCACACCCACACGCCCCAGCTGTGCAACGCCCTGAACATGAGGTGATCTCAGCAGGCCTTGGGTCCTCGTGTGAAATGAAAGGACCAAACTACACAGTCAGCTCCCCTAATCCTGAGTTTATCACATGGTCACTACTGTCGTAGGCGATTTGCTGTCTTTTTAGTCTTCTCTCCAAGCCTCTACTTGAAACAGGTGTTGAGTTTGGAGCTCAGCATTGCAGTTTACACCCCATGTTTTCTCTCATCTGTGAAGTGGGCATAAAAGTAGCATTGACCTTGCAGGATTATTGAGAGTAGTAAATGGAGTGATGGGATGGATGTTGGGCTCCAGGCAGACCGTGGGTATTGGGGGCGGTTGGATTCCTTCTCCACTAGGTCTGAGAGCAGGAAGTACATCTGATGGGCCACTCCCCCCGCCCCACCCCTTCGGCTGCATTCCTGCCCGTAATGGGTTTCTCTGTAAACACTCCTTGGTGGGTGGATAGAGAGCTTACACGAGCAGAAGCCTAGGATTTTGATTTCAATGCTAAAATGCTCTTGGTTTCCTTTCATTCTGTTGCAGAAACTGGAAGAGAAGTTCCGGCTGAATAGACGAGAACTGATTGCCTTTGAATTCCCAGTGTTAGTGGCCTTGGAGTTTGCTCTTCATCTGCCAGAGCACGAAGTCATGCCCCATTACAGACGCCTGATCCAGAGCTCCTAGCACAGGCCCCAAGGACGGGTGGGGACCGCTTCCTCTGAGCTTGTGGAGCAGCACTTACTACTGGAAATGCAGAAACAGAACTTGACATACCAACCTGTTTTCCTCTCAACATGTTTTTGTGGAGAAGCAGTACCTGAAACTTTTCAGGAAGTCCCGGTCTGGCTAGCCGGCATGAGCCGTGAGTGGGTGATTACGCAGCAGCTGAAGGGGAGACCCGTGCAGGAGGTGGCCGAGGGCCTTTCAGCTTTCACCTGGCTGGCATTCCCAGGTGTCCCCGCCCTGCTGTTCTTCTGGGCACAGACCTCGCAAGCATGGTCCATGGTCTCCCCTGCAGACCTGGCCCCACGCAAGAGAGCAGAGTTCTAAAGCAGAAGGGAAGAGAATTTACAGTGGCTGGGGGAAGCTTTTAAAGGATACCCTTACTGTGTCAAAACAGTTTGCCAATCTGTTTTTGTCTCCGCTCTTAGAGGTGTGCGCACACACCCAGGGGGGAAGGGGGCGTGAGAGTGTGAGAATGTGTGTGTTAGAGCTGCCACCTGCCAGAGCACGGACCTCTGCCTGGGGGCGAGAACCAGCCCGACCTTCAGCAGTTCTAGACCATCTCTGGGCAACTGCCCCTCTCTCTCTACCAGATTGTCTGACGTTCTCCGCCCTTAGGAAATGCCATAGTTTCTGTTACTGCTCCTACCACCAATGGGACAAAGAGGACGAGTCCTCGATGCTGGACAGGCCACGTGGAAAGGCATGAAGTGTGGCGCTCTATGCCTTTCCGAGGCCGCACCGCGTGCTTATGGTTGACCTTCGCACTTTCCCGCTGCGGAGACGGCTGGGGCTGCTCCGCGGTGTGTATCCTGTGCTCTATGTTAGAGTGCATAATAAGCACATTGATTGTGCTTGCTCTATATACATGTTTTCTAGAAATCCAGAGTAGGTGGGAGACACATGATTGGTGTTTGGAGGCGTCTGACCGCTGGGACAGACTGCATCTGAAGCTGAGGTTCGGTGGACGGGAGAGGCAGCAACTTCTCATCGCCCCGTCCACTGTCTGTGCAGAACTTCCGCTGTAACTCGTCCTGCCTGGCTGGCACGTCAGGGGTCCCGGGGCACGTCACAGCCACAAGAGCTGTGCCTGCTGGACTTCACTGGACAGGAGGAGGCCCGGGGCAAGAAAATTAAAATATTTTGTTTCTATATACGTGTATGTGTAGACACACATGTCACCGGTCACCCCTTGCCCAGGATTACTGATCGCTGTGCCACCATCCCCACTTGCACGCAGATGGGAGCTTCTCACATCAGCTCAGAGAGCAGGTGACAGGGAAGCCGAGCACGCGGCTTTAGTTAGCGGAGCCGGAATAAATCCCGACAGTGGCACAGGATGGAGGGATTTAAGGAACAGCTGGGGAGGGAACAGATTACTCCCCTTCCCCAGACTCTTAGAGTTCAACCAAATTCAGTACTAAATATTTTGCTAACAAGTATCCTGGGCTGGATTCAGTTTTAAGACCATGATTTTGTTGGGGGCCATGATGAACACGACCTCTAAGTCAACTGACATTTAAGGGGTGCCAACTGTTGATGAGGCGTAGTGTTCAGAGCGTCTCTACCGCCTGAACTAAACATGCCATTGACCTTCCTGTCCTGGTGGCTGGCACGTGCTGCCCTGATGAGCCACCCCAGGGTCGCAGCCTGCTCAGCTCCCCGGGGAGTGCCTGGCAGATGGGAAGCCTTTACGAGGAGCAAGGCCACTGGCATCTAGGAACTGCCCACAGAGCTCCCCACTGTCCATCTGTCTTGAATCTCCTGCCAAGCTCAGGGGGACATCTGGTGGGTGACCCGTGCCACCAGGTCCTTCCTGTGTTTCAGAAATCAAGCTAATGTTCTTGAATTTAGGGCTGTTTGGTTTTTAGCATTTATCAAGGTGAACTTAAGTTGTTGGTCCATTATTTAAAAAAAAAAAAAAAAAACCTAATTTTAAACTATTTTGGCCTGTGGATTTGTTGAGTTGGGGAATTTTATTGGTTTTAATTTAGTTGGGAGAGGGCTCAGAATGAAAGATTTTGTCAAGAGGCTGCTTTTGCTTGTCCTTAACGTGGGCTTTCTAAAGGTGGGGGAGGATGAGACAGAGGGTAGGGGACGAAGACCACTGCCAGGGCCACCCCTGTGAAGTGCACCCCACACACTGCTCCAGCCTTGGGCCTTGACAAGGAGTCAAGGAGCCTGAGCCTGTGTGGAGAGGAGGCGGGCCACTTGGCAGACTGTTCTAGAAGACCTTGAGGCTCTGCCCTTTTCACCCTCCACCACAAGGGGCAGCTTCAGCCCCCCTGCCAGTCCCACTTCCTCAGACCCGCCCTGAAGCCTCCCCAGCTCTCCCCGTGCACACACATCTGTGGGGAAGCCCTGCCTGGCCGCGTGCCCCACAGGATGGCACTAGCGGCTCTGCCTGACTCGGTTTCCCCACATTGGACTTGTCAGGCGTGACTATTAAGAGACGGATGCCAACCAAGCAGACAGGCTAGTGCAGCCCCCTGGGGAGGAAGTGGCCGCTGCTGCCCTGCCCCGGTGTAGCTGCCCCGGGGCCTGGGCCTGCGCAGGCACAACAGAGGTCACCACTTTCCCTCCATCACCCCCCTTCCCGCCCCCCGTCAAACCTACACAACGGGAACATACCAACTGCAAAGCTGTTCATTTTAGTGTCTTTTTCCTTGTTTTTAACTAAGAATTCCCCTAACTGCAGTTGGCGTGGTCTTCACCCAGTGAGCCCATTTTGGGGTGGCCCCTTACTGCACACGACCCCCTCCATACTAGAGGCCCTGCCCTGCGGATGTGGCAGCAGGTGACGCTGGAGACCCCTGCCCTCCTCACTCAGTCCCCTCATTCTCCCAACAGCAGGAAATAAAACTATTTACAGCCCCTGCTGCCGAATTGTTCTTTCTCAGACATTTCCAGCTCCGGCCTCTCCCTCCAGCCTCCCCCTCCGCTGCCTCCACAACCCATCCGAGCCTGAGGCCGCCTTGCCCCCCTTGCAGTCTGCCTCTTTACAGTCCTGTTGTGGGTGCATTGACGGGGGGGGGGGGGGGGGGGGGCTTCGAAGACAGCTTGTGAGGGGGTGGCCTGAGGGTCGCCTCGGGGCCGTGCGGTCAGGGACAGCAGGGCCAGGTAGGAGAGTGCTGGCAGCCGGAGAAGGGAGGAAACCTCGCGACTATAGACCCGGAGTCCTGTGTCCTCAACACCAACTTAAAAGGTGGCTTCCAGGAGTGCAACTGTGAGGCACAACTGAAGTAAAAAGCTATTATAAAAGAAATAATCGGTGAAAGGAATGGTCTTGCTGCCAGGGGAACTCCCCGCAGAAGGCGCAGGTGCTGGCTCAGAGCCCCCGCCCCGTAAAGGACCATTCAGACTCCTAAATAGATATTCCAGAAATTCTGCAAACAAGCCCGTTTGCAGCAGGAAAGCGGGCCTGGCGAGGATGCGCTTCCTCTCCGCCCTCGCCCGCTGCCATCTTTCTACTCCAGGTGTGGTCCAGGCACCAGCAGCGCCCGGGGGCTTGTTACAGATGCGGAATTCGCATCTTAAGATCTGATGAAGATTTGTGTACGCTGAGATCTCAGAGGGACCGTTCCTCTGATAAGCACAGGAAATAAAGTTCTTTGTCTACAAAGACTAACCACTCGTAGAGTTGTCTAAAATAGAAAAAAAAAAAAAAGCAGAGATACTGTAGATGGTTTTTAATACCAAAAACAAAACAAAGAACATGTTGCACCAGGCCCTCACCGAAAGGCAGTTTCGACTGTCAGATTATGTAGCCACTGCCTCTAACATCTTCCGGATGCACGTGGTCAGATTTAAACCGGACTGCGCTACAGCTCACATGCTGCAAATCCCAGCGGGCTCACCGTGGATGGCCTCATCCAGGGTTGGCCAGGGTCGCCGTTCAGGTCAGGCCTGTGTCCCAGGTTGTCGGGCCCAGGGTGGAGGATTGCAGTGGTGGAGGGTCAGGGCTGTTGAGGGTGCTGGAGCAGGGGTCCCCTCTAGTATGACTGCGGGCTGCACGCACGCAACCTTGGCGACCTGGAGGAGCAGACTTCTCAGTTTGCTTTTTCATTGGGGTCCACCTACCATATTAGGATTTTATTTGAGGGCAGCCTGGGTGGCTCAGCAGTTTAGCGCCGCCTTCGGCCCTGAAGTCCCAGGATGGAGTCCCACATCGGTCTCCCTGCATGGAGCCTGTTTCTCCCTCTGCCTGTGTCTCTCTCTGTCTCTGTCTCTCTCTCTCTCTGTCTCTCATGAATAAATAAATAAAAACTTAAAAAATTAAATTTAAAAAAAAAAAGGATTTTATTTGAGAGAGGGAGCACACAAAATGCGGGGAAGGGCAGACAGAGAAGCAGACTCCATGGAGCAGGGAGCCCCATGTGGGGCTTGATCCCAGGACCCCGGGGTCATGACCCGAGCCAACACACCGACTGAGCCACCCAGGCACCCCTACCTACCATTTTAAAATATATCTTATATTGGATTCTGTGTGTGTTAACAGGGACTCCCAGGCCTGCCCGGGAGGGGCTTCCAGAGCTTGAGGAAGGAGCCCTGGGGGTGGGTAGAAGTCATCTTTGCCAGGTGCCAGGATCCTCGTCTCCAAGGGAGCTCTGAGTGCAGAAGCTAGAAAGGGCAGTGCCAGGGGTGGGCCAGATTCCCCCGCATGGGCCAAGGCAATGGGCTGGCAGTTGCTACTCAGGTCAGCCGGGTGCACAGGGGCATGCCAAGTTAGAGCCGTCGTTGGTCCTAGGAGTAAAGGCCAAGAGGATGGCCAGACAAATCCAGGCCACTGGACCAGGGCGCCTGGCCAGGTTGGGGAGAAGCCAGAGCCGTGACCTGTGGTAGGAAGGCCACCCCTTGGACGGGAGGGCTGGTGGGCAGCCTGGGGGGCCGCGTGTTCACCGAGGAGATAGCACACGCCCCAGCTGTGCTGCACACTCAGAGCGCGAGTTCTCCCGGGACCCTTACACGAACTGCACAGTTAGGGATCACGGCTCCCATTTCAGAGCCCAAGAGGCAGCCTCTGAGAATCACCTCCCCAGGAGCTCACAGTTACAGAGTGGTAAAGGCAGGATGCAAATCCAGATGGCTGATTCCAAAGCCCACCCAGCTCTCCCGCCTCAAGCCGGGTCAGCGCCGAGACGCTGAGAACGTGGGAGCCAACGTGGCCCAGCGGTTGTAGCGCCGCCTTCGGCCCCGGGCCTGATCCTGGAGTCCCGGGATCGAGTCCCGCATCAGACTCCTGGTGGGGAGCCTGCTGCTCCCCCTGCCTGTGTCTCTGCCTTTCTGTGTGTGTCTCATGAATAAATAAATAAAATCTTTAAAAACAAACAAACAAACAAACAAACAAACAAACGTGGGCGCCCGAGTCGGGCTGACCTCAGATGCCCCCGACCTGCTGCCCCAGGCCCCCATGCCAGGCGGGGCCTCCCCAACGCAAGGGGGGCGGGGGGCGTGAGGCCGTGTCACAACGCGGCCCAGAGAACGGCTGGGGGTTGCGAGCCGCTTGAGACTTCACACCCCCGACCCCAAATGTCGCTGGCAGGACACAGGCCCCCCCAGGTGCTCCCGGAGACCCTTTCAGGCTCTCGACCACAGGCTTCCGGCCTGGAGCAGTCTCCACCACCCGCAAGCGCTCACCAGGTGGGTGTTGCTCAAGTCTCACGGGCGTCATCACAAGGCAATCCCCCCATGGGCACATGACCCCGGTTCTCTGCTCAGGCCTTGCTCAGCTCTGACCCCGCGGACCCCCCCCCCATCTCCCCTGCCCTCCGGCCGCTGCTTCGGTTCTGCCACCGGTGAACAAGAGCAGCAGGAGAAGGAGGCCAGCTGGGGGGCTGCATGGCCCCACCCCACCCCACCCCACCCCACCCTAGGGACCCTGCTAGTCCTGGGGTCTCTCGGCCTCCTAGGTCCCCTAACCTGTCCACACCTCCACAGTTTCCCCACTGAACTCACTTTCATTGCCCCCCGTTGCCAGGGCCCACCCCACCTGGCACAGCCAGCTGGCAGTCTAGAACAGTGTTTCATCAAGCATGAGCAATCGGGAAAAAGAGCGTTCTAGATTTCCAAATCATTCTGGAAGCAAACAGTGGAAATCATCCCACAAAACCATCAAGAATGAGTGAGAACAGGCGGGAAGATCACATGCCTTAAAAAAAAAAAACAACCAACAAAAGGCAGTTTGGCTACAATGAACCTGACCCTAAAATCAGCCCTCCTTGGGGTCCCGGCGGTATCCAGGCCCCCTCCCCACCAAATGGTCATTCCTTTGGAACCTTAAAGTTCTTCATCTTTCCCCTCTGAGGGGAACAGGAGGGGCTTTGAACAGGATTTGAACAGGAGCTGGTCATGGAAGTTGACCAAAAAAAAAAAAAAAAATTCATTGCATCCAATGGGGAGGCTGATGACATCTTCTGCTAGAACTACTCACTCTAAATTATTTTTTAAAGACCCTGAGTTCCGGGACCCCTGGGTGGCTCAGCGGTTGAGCATCTGCCTTCAGCTCAGGTCGTGATCCTGGGGTCCTGGGATCGAGTCCCACATCGGGCTCCCTGCAGGGAGCCTGTTTCTGCCCGTGTCTCTGCCTCTCTCTGTTCTCTCACGAATAAAAAGATAGAATCTTTTTTTAAAAATTTTTATTTATTTATGATAGTCACACAGAGAAAGAGAGAGGCAAGAGACACAGGCAGAGGGAGAAGCAGGCTCCATGCACCAGGAGCCCGACGTGGGATTCGATCCCGGGGCTCCAGGATCGCGCCCTGGGCCAAAGGCAGACGCTAAACCGCTGTGCCACCCAGGGACCCCAAATAGATAGAATCTTAAAAAAAAAAAGAAATCTCTGCATTCCAGGCCCCACCCACCATCTCAGCCCCAGTCCTACTGGGGTGCAGTGGGGTGAGGCAGGGAGCGCTGAGTTGGTCCTCCCAAGGGTACACCTCGGGGG